TTTGGCAGATTTTTAGATATCTGGGGTATGTTCATGCTTTTCTCCTGGCTCCATCAAATGCCCTCTAAATCTTCACTTTATGGACTCAAATTTGACAATCATTTCTTTTCTGTTATACCGCAACGCTGAAGTCCAGCTTAGAAAAAGTAGTGACATCACTTTTCTGTAACTTCTGGGTGTCTTTTTCTATATTTCTCAGGTTTGGTCAAGAAAATTAATCAAACTGTCATAGCTTAGAAAACCAAGCAATCGAAACGTCAAACTTGTATGAATGACATAAACCATAATATAAAGCACCGTGTTAATGGAGACTTGACTATTATTTTAAACAGTTATAGTAAAGTAGCTAAGGACTGGTTACTAGTATCAAAGTATACACCTTGGTGTTGCACAGTCATAAGTTTTCACCATGCAGATGGATGCCAGTGAAGGTTACATTTTTTCTCTCCAACACGCCCTCCTTGCTACCTGTTGGTGTGTGTACTGCACTATTAGAGTAGTGCAACAGTATGAGACAAACGAAACAGCCGCTTCTGAAACGGAGCAAGGGTCAAACGATTAGCCGGCTGCATCACTCAGGTGGTGCAACAATGCAACCTATAACAGAGCAAGTCATTGCACACATGGCCACAAGTTTGTTGGCCAGGTACTCAGAAGAAGAAGAAAATGCTGCTTCATTTATTAAAATTATTATTATACAAAACATAGCAGGAAGCATATGGATGCTGCTATGAATCAATTTAAAACCCAGGGTAGAAAAACACGTTAAGAATTCAGAAAGCAACATTTAAATCATGTGACTTGATGGGATTAAATATTACAAACCTGCTGCTATTACTGCAGCAATTTGCCCAGTCAGAGAATGACTGAGGAAACATTCATGTGCCAAGTTAGTGTGAGAAAACTTCCAGCCAGTTTTTCTTGTGTAAACATCCAAATATTTGCACAAGTGCTTGCATGGATTTCGTCATCACCCGACTAACATTCTTCACTGAAAAAGGATATTCCATTTTGTCCCCCCCTCACATTAACATTATTATTTAGGCGACTCTTCCTGCACTTTGAATTTGAAATAACCTCGGACATTCAGCTGTCCTCGACACTGGAGGAATGTGGATTTGAATGTGAACAGGACCGCATTCTTTCTGAGTAGTTGGGAGGTGTCACAGATGTCATAAGCTTTTCTCTAATACCCGTATTTCATATACACCCAAATGGGCATCAAGTAAGATTAGGGGAATATTTTGCAAGCAAAAAGCTTTACCGAGACTGACTTGCTTCCGTAAACTTAAAGTCATTTGAGATAAATACCCACAAAAAAGCTTAAATCTTCTTCCTCACCTTAATATCTTGCACATTTATCACACCTGGTAAATGTGTAAAAAAATATTTCAAAATTTAGCTTTAATTCTAGTACAAAGTACATTTATTAAGTGACTGGAGAAGAAAAATCAAGTTAAGAAAAATATGTTGTTTTTTTTTAATAAAAATCCTAGTGTCCCATTTGTTGGCATGCCAAACAAAATCCTTAAAAAAAATCCAGCTTAAACATTTGTAATACTTTACAATTAGTAGTCTGTCTAGGAACCTAGCACTTCCTGGTTTCCAGGATATATATATATATGACATTGTGTTTCTCTTAGCAACTTATGAAAACAGGATCCACAAGACGACTTGTCATGAAAATTAGACATGTTGATCTTCGCAAACAAATCAGGAAATAGCTACAAAAAAATCCTATTCAATTAAATGTACCTATGTCCAATTTTTTTTTTCTTTTCCAGAAAGCTGAAAATAACAATGCAAGAGGATGATGGGGACGGTAAAAAAAAATCTCCAAAAATATTTCTTTAGAGAACAAGAGTGGCATGTTGGGTTTGCCATCTATTCACAAAAGATATTACATATTAGCTGATTGTGTGGAATGTCGGGAAAGAAAAACATTGTCTGTCCTACCATAAGAAACAAACATGTACAGTGTGTCAGCTTTAACTGTAACCTTGTGCTTCGGTCCGACAAGATGAAGATTGAGTTTTTGCCAACAAACACTGAGAGTGAGTGTGGTGTAAAAGAAACCCAAGTATGGTATGCTATGGTATCACATCTATGATGCTGTGGGCCCCTATTCCTTCTAAAGGAAGAGAAAGGGGACTGCGATGAAACACCAAGACATTTTAAATAACAGCCTGATGGCATCTCCCAAAAAACTGAAAACAGGCCATCACTTCATAGTCACACCTGTCTTCACGAACAGCAACTTATACAACAGGAAACACTCTTTATTTTGATATGAACTTGCTTGAGGACACTCACAGCTTAATGACTGTCCTATTGGAAAATGGAAGTTAACATATTTGGGTGGAAAAAAAAAAAAAAAGTAACCGCTAAATGTAAAGAATTTCTTGCAAAATAAAAAGAGCACAAGTTTGTAATATTAAATCAGGTGAGGGGTCTAGATCACCAGTTTATTTTTTCAACCTTCGCTCATTTGGCACTGACGACTAGTGGATATTCTTCTCAAACCAAAAAGCTGTGATAGTGGCAGATCACAGCACATGAAAAGCACAACATACTATCCCCCTCCAAACTGAATCGATTTAATATTATTTCGATGTCAACTTTAATAACTGTATCAAAACACAGAGTCTCTGGTTTACCTTCCTGCCAGGCAGTAAATCAATGTATGTGCTTTGGCTGAGGCCAAGGTGCTCCGAATGAGAAACACAAACCTAAAGGTGTTTCTCCTAAACGTCATGAATCTTGGCCTTTGCTACGACTTCTGGCAGATGTGCCTGAAATCAATCACATCCGATTCTCACAGAAGAAAACTAGCTGAAGTCAAACTGCAGCAGGACAACATGTCGAGCAAGAGCTTGCACAGGCGATGTGACAACTACGACACGCCGTCAGGTGGGCAGAGTGATGCAACACGGGCTGCTCAACTGGTTCCACGGGAGGCGTTCCTCCAGAGAAGTGCCGTCACTCATTGAAACGACACAAGCTGTCTGCCTGTATAGTTCTGAGTCAGTCAAGCAGAAGGAGAGCGCTGCACTCGAAACACAGGCACAACAACGCAACACACAAGTGAAACCTCCAAGCAGCATCCCCCCATGCTGCATTAAAGACGAAACACAGGCACAACAACGCAACAGACAATGAAACCTCCTAGCAGCATCACCCCATGCTGCATTAAAGACTTACATTTTGAGAAAGCATCCCTTCTATTCACTCGTAAGTCCAAGTGGAGCTGCTCAGTATAACATATCAGCATCGACAATGCAGCGTGCGTGTTAATTAGAAACACAGCATGCAAGGTAAGGCAAATTTATCCGAGTGAGTCATCTTAAAGCTTTAAAGAAAAGCAAAACATGGGCAAGTTTCGTTTATTGGGAAGAGAAGGGACGGAGCGGGGGAAAAAAAAACCAACACTGCAAAAATAGATGGTAGTAAGAATTATTTGTATTAGTTCAACCAAACATCAGTATGGGTCTGATCCGGGTATGTTACTGCGTTATATTTATTCAATGTTGAATAAAAATATTGACCAAACTTCTATCATGTCATGCATTTGTTTCATCTTTCATTTATGTCAGATAAAAAAAAAAAAGTTTTGCAAAAAATTAGCAGCACTTTTACAGCAGGCTGTATACTGGATAACTTCATTTACAATGCCTCGTAAAAGCACTCACTCCTTGAACTTTATAACATTTTGTCACATTACAACGACAAACTGAAATACTTTATTGAGATTTTATGCGGTCACACAAATCTACAGAGTTCAAAGTTGTGAAGTGAAGTAAAAGTGAAACCCAGCTCACCACATTTTTGTCAATTCAGTTTTACACCGGATAGATTAATACATATAATACCTTTACTTCTATTGACTGCTCTGCTACTGTGTCATGTTTTCTGTCTATAACACTGATTTATGATGTAAAGGTTATGTGATGTTTTTTGAGGGTTTTTTTTTTTTTTTACAATCCAGATAAGACATGTCTTTTATTTCTTCTTTGCATTGGTGATATGCACATCATTCCTAAGGAGACTGAAATGTTTGCACGTTCCTTTGCTGTTCAATTATTGACCTGATGATGATCCAGGTTGTCTGGGAGCACTGTCAGCATATAAATTATTCCCACTGTAAAAATGTAGACTTCAGACCTTTCTCCCTTAGTTTTTAACAGCCCTTGCCGTACTATTCCTTGTGTTTATCTTTAGGACAATTTGTTTTAATACCCCTAAATAAAATCCATTGCAACCAAAGTTTTGTTTTTTTTAAAGAAGAGTCCACGCACACGTTGAAAGCTTATTTTAGTGCTAGTGAGAACTAACGAGGCATTGTGACGCTCGCCAAAAAGGAAAATATACACCAGTTTAGCCAAGAGAAATAAGTCCTCCAAGCACTGTGAACAATTTTATCAACTTTATCTGACGTGGCAAGTCGCAAATGAAGCTTCGTTTCAAGCACAACAAACGCAAAATAGATGTACGCTTCAACACATGGCGATGGGAACTGTCTTCACTCGCTCATATTCTGCCAAACAGCGAGACTAGCCTGCAGCTACAACCGCTAGCATGCTAACTGTGTCCCCGCTAAACTGGCGAACTTCGTCCCGGTGTTGAAGGAACGGTCCCTCGCTAACTCAGCACAAAATAACAATGACACATGAAAGTGTTGTGCACGTTAACATTCCGGGTTGAGTGACTATATACCGCTGGGTGGACCCACGTGAAATAAAAGCAGCATATGAAAAATGCAGAGGTCTTTCTTGCGAGCTTGCGGTCTAGTTTAGTTTTGCTGCAGAAAACACGACTGCCACAAGCAGGGAGCCTAGCCAAGAAGCTAGCGCTTTGCTAACAGGCTAACGCCAAAGCAAGAGAGCCTCTGTCAGACAGACACACAACCGAGATTGGAGACCTCTCGCTCCGAATCGTGGATTTCACAACGAAAACAGCCCGTCCGTTCTCTGCCAGAAGCACAGAGGCGTGTGACTACTTACGATTTGAAACTTTCCGCCGAGTCCTCACTGTTAAATCCTGTTTATCCCAGCCAGCTCTGACCTTCGCGGTAGTGAAACAACATTTCTGCTGGCTAACTGTGCCGCCATGTTACTCCTGCTCTGCAAACCAATGCTGAGTGTTTATCTGGCTGGTAGCTGCCGCCGCCGCTGCTGCTGCTGCTGCTGCTGCTATCCTCCCCCACACACACGAAACCACATCACTGGGCTCCGAACACAAATCGACTCAGTTACCGCCGGGGGTGGGGGGCTCCTGTGCAGTCCCGAGGCGCTTTACCTGTTAGGATTACGGTACTTGCTGTTTGATTAATCAGCATCGCTCTGACGACATTTAATCTGCAGACGGTCTCTTATGGTCGCCACTGTACAATATCAAAAAAAAAATTTTTTTTATGGATGTTGTGGTTTCAAGGATATACTAAGCATAACATCCCCACACACACACCCTCGACTGTGGTTCTTCTAGAATAAAAAACCTCATTGTTTAAAGAAGATTGCAACTATTTTACTCAGGCTCACCAAAGTAGTTGTAAATTTTGAGACCATTAACATTTATGCGATGTCGTAAAATTGGCGTTGCAAGAGCTGCATCAAACTAAAACGCTCGACATTGATGTTGGAGCTTATTTTGATTAAATCACTGAAATGTTGCGTTCCTTCTGTTAATGATTAACACTTGTCTAACTAAGTTGCTCGTGAAATTTTGGTTGACAGGTCTGTGAACCGACCAAAAGTTCTCTATTGAAAATGTTTTTTTTACAAAGCCTACCGATCCTTAACAATTACCGTGTACTTATACAGGTACATATATATTTTATATATATTCTGCCTCCTTGACCAAATGTCTATTGACCAAACAAGCGAGCAGGGGTTCTTCTGAGCCAAATTTTGTGCAACAGCACCACCTAGTGGTCTGTTTCCCTTTGAAATCAAAGGTCATGTCCTCATTGTGTGCGGTTGAAAAATGTTTTAGTGGGAATTGGGATCAGTCAGGAAACTGATAAAAACGTTAATTTACTCAAATATGGATTTGTGGCCTAGAATGATGTCCTATGAAGACATTCGAAGATGACGATGATAGCGATAATAATAGTCATCACATTATTTCCTCTTTATTTTATGAAACCCAGTGGAAGTTCCTAGCACTTTATAATTTACTACATTTTACAATTCCCCTGATTTTCTTTTATTTATCTTTTTGGTTTTTCCTCAGAAAGAGCATTTTTGATGTTACACCACAAGTTTTCAATTGCATTGAGGGCTCTGGAATGGACTGGCCACGCCATAAATTTTCATTTTGTTGGTCTGAAAACAAGAGGTTTCTCGTACACTGACACATTTGAGATTAATTGAAATATGGATTTCCACGGCATTTTCTCCTCCACACAAATCAACATGAATGCTCTTCAAGCATTTTCATGTATCCCATCTGACTCCATAATATGAGAAACAGCATTTCTCCACCACAATGCTTTCACGGTAAACTGAGTTGGTTTTTCACTTTGTCTGGCTGAAATCCCTTGACTCAGAAACAAGAATATTATTTTTTTCCCCCAGTACACAAGATCCTGTGCCATTTCCCATTATTTTAGTCATTGGGTTTTATCCATCATTGTGCATGCTTATGGATTATTGCTGAGTCTCGATGCCTATGTCCAGTAGTCATTGGGTGAGTGACAGGACAAGGTACAACCTAGATGGCTCATTAGGTCACTTTTTCAAATTGCGTCACATTAAACTCTTTTCTCAAAATTCAATACACAAACACCCCATTATAATTATGTTCAAAAACGTTTTGAGATTTTTGCAAATTTATTAAAAACAAACAAAAAAAAAATCACATTTGCTTTAATATTCACAGCTTTTGCCTTTCACTTTGTTGATCCGTCTTTAACATCAATTTGCACCTACACTCCTTTTGCCACAACCTTAGCACTCCCATCTTTATGGATTTTCACCCATCCTTATTTGCAGCACTTCTCAAGCTCCAGCAGATTGGATGGGAGATGTTTGTTTCAGAACTTTCCAGGAATGTTCAGTTAGATTCAAGCCTGGACTCTGGTTTGACCTCTCCAGTACATTCACAGAGAGGTTTTAAAGCCACTATAATCTTGGTCGCCGTGTTGTCTGGCTGAAAAATTAACATCCAGAATGTCTCTCTACATTGCTGCATTTATCTTTCCTTGCTATCTTGCTGCTGAAAAACATCTCCAGAGCCAGTGACATATATATTTGCTGCCTCTGTCTTGAAATAAGAGTTATCCACTTTACACCGAATGAAAAACCTCGCTGATTTGAACTCCATCCGACACTACTAACACTTTTATAGAAGCCCTTTCAACTCATGATTCAATTATATAGAATCAGCATTTTGACTATTAGATCTGCTGGCTTTCTATTACTCTACTACACCGGCTATTAACCTACATGCTACGCAAAATTATTTCTACCACAGCAAAATCAGTGACCTGGGTACTGATGTTGGATACAATTGATATATATTCTGAGCTACTTTTAGTGCACTAGATCATCACTAGGTCTTAATTGGACTTTGACACATACAGTAAAATAATCTAGAATGCTTCTGTTTTAACAAGATCATTTTATTTCTTTACAGGATAAACCCCCAGGGCGAGTAGAGAGAAACAAACACTGCTGGAGTTTATTGTAGCTCACTAAACGGTATGCCTAAAATTAAGAATTCATTCTTCAGAATACATTTGTGTTACTTAGGTAACAAAGTCTTGAAAGTACAGCTGACAGGCCTATAATGCTTTGTGGTGTGTAAGTAAAAGGCATATGGTCAGCTGTAGTTAGCCAGGCTCTTTTGGCACAGTCAATTCTCAGTATGGAGGGCAGGGAGGGAGTAAAGGTTTACAACAATAAATGTGTGTGTGTGTATATATATATATATGCAGATATATATACACACCCACAGGTAAGTTAATCCATAATGGAACAAACACAATAAGAACATTACTTCTTAACATTGAGAGGTTGGACAAATCACAAAAACATTTTTCTTTTTTTTTTTTCCTGATTTGTATCTTCGTTGATGCTACAGAATTAAAATCTAAAAGCACAATGTGTCTAAAACAGCATGATTACAACTGCAGCAACTTTTAAAGAAGTTTGTGACAAACATGTTGTGATTACAAAGCTTTTCACCTACTCCAGTAATCAAATGCTACATTAGTTTACCATTCGTTTTATCTTTTTCTTCTTCTTGGCTGGCAGTTCCGCACAGTACTGAACCATAAATGTACTCGTTTAATTTGCTTGCTTGTATATCCTCTTATTCCAAGCTTATTCAATGGTTTTCTTTCTATCTACATGTGTCTGTTTATGTCTAATGTGGTTGAAAAAAAAAAAAAGACTAAAGTGTGATCTGGGCAAAGGCTGGAGATAACAGGACTTTATACAACCTCCGATCTTGGGAATGCAGGAGAAATGTAAAATGGAATTCATCCAAGAGAAGGACAGCATCAGGATGAGCTGGTTGGTGTATAAATACAAGATATGGTGGTGAAAGAACAAGAATACATGTCATTTCAATAAAGCACTTAATGACCTGAAGTGGGAAAAAGAAATAAAGTGATCATTCCTGATTTGGTACAATTACAATCTGTACAAAAAACACCACCTCCTCCCAAACCCCCCCCAAAGCAACCCACATCAATAGGCACTTCTTAAATAAGGTCTTTTTCCCTCAGTTTATTTGTTGGTTTTTAATTAATACCACAGAAGGAAGATTTGGAGCTGATTGTGAGCTGGACGATCGGCAGCAAAAGCAAATCTGAGTGGCCCTGGGAATTCCAGCTGGGAGGTCGGTCCTGTGCGGGAAGGTGAATCCGCACATTGGGTCTGGGGTCAAGGAGCCGTTGAATCAGCCAGCTGCTCACAGCCGAGAAGACCCTGGGAGAGGCGGCTCTTTGAGATACGCGGGATGAGGAAGGCTGGCAGGAATGTTTACTTTTCTTCTCCTCTTTATGTCTTATGAAGACTTCTCTTTTCTTGATCTTGGTGAATCGGCTCTATGAGAGCTCACGCCGTTTACTCCGTTTGCTGCAAAAAAAAAAAAAAGGAGTTAGCTAAAAGCATTTTTGCACTTTTATTCTCACAGTTTATTTGTAGTTGGGTGTTTCTTGCCCTCCCACCTTTGTCTTTTTTCGACTTGCTCTTAGCAGGAGCCTGTTTCTTTTTCAACGTCTGAGCCTCGGCATGCTCTCTCCATCGCCGCAGCTGGAAGTTGATAAACTTCCACATCATGAAGGCCTGCGTGAAGCAGATGGCTGACAGGACGGTCATCCTAGTAGATTAGATTAACAATCAGTTCTCTGAGTGGCAAAAACATTTATTATTCATCATCTTATTTATTTTTTTATTTGATTTTTTTTATGTTCCAGTTCTTCTGGCATTTAACTAACAGAACTAATTTTGGTAATGCTGCCTGACCTAAATTAGGAAAAAAAAAAAATCTGACTAAATATGAGGGAACAAGAATACATTCTTGTTTATCAACAGCATATTTAAAAAACATGTTTTCTCTTTTGTATCGTCAGATGTACTTACCGCACAAAGAAAATGTTGAAGTTTCCTGCAGCCAAATCAAAGCCTTGGTTTTCAGCGGTGGAGAGGCCGAAGCCCACGGTGAGGACCGACAGGGACAAGGTAAGCAGCCGTCCAATCACAAACAAGACAGCCCAGATGGTGAATCTATGACAAAGGAAAAAGATGGATTTTTTTTTAAGTTCACAAAATCTTATTTCCATCCGAATCCATTGATTTGAAAATACAGAACTCACCCCATTTGTCTGTTCTCGTTGCTGAAGTAGACGAGACGGGAGACATGGAACAGAAGCTCGACAAAATAATGCAACACCAGCAGGACCAAACCCAGTCGGTTCAAACTGAAAGGGACAAGGAGGACTTTTTAGAAGGAGAAATATACGACCAATTTCACCCTAAGCTCTGACTTTTCGCTTCAGAGGTGACGCTTACTTCAGAATGTAGGCGCCAGCAATGTGGACCAGGTACAGGAAGATGTACACGAGCTGCCGTGGAATATCCTCCTGAACGGTAAACACAGAGAGGAGGAGGCGGAGTGAGGTCAAAATATTTACACCAGAGTGGGATTGGCACATTCATTTCAGCATGAAGAGGATAATTCTTCAAAACAATACCACGCGGCCCAGGAAGCCAAACAGGAAAAAGCTGCGGGGCCCAAACAGCAACACTTACTTTCTTTGCTTTTTGGAAATACAGCTCTGGGAGAGCGTGTAGCCAGTATCCCATCTGGCAAATGTAGAAGAATTTCATCTGGAATCTGAAAGAGAGCGAGATGCCTTAAAAGACCACACACTCTTCTTGCTTTTCGTTCGCATCTCGTCGCTAAATTTGGCAACTTACGGCATCAGCGCATGAGGATAACCCTCCCACAGGGCGACGGGATTGGACAGGAAGTTTTCCTAAGAGCGCAAAGTTTTTAAATACAATGTTCAGTCTGAACCACAAGCAAACAAAAAACAAAACCAGTCAGAGGGTGGGCTTACAGATAGAAGGATGTTCGTGCCCCAAGCAAAGGAGAACAAGTAGAAGGCGCTGAGCTGGCCTGACTCATTGAACTTGCTGTGCTTGGTTTTGGAGAAGTGCTTTTTTCGGTTGATTTTCTGCAGAGACACAATAAAAAAAAAAAGAAAAGAGAAATGACTTGAAGTGAAACAGTTCAGAGGTTTAAAAAAACAACAAAAAAACCCCAGATATTTCCATAATTTCTCACTTACGTCCAGCACGTACTCCTGGATGATTGCATGCATGATGATGGCCACCAGCATGTAGAAGAAAACGGTTGCGAGGTCCTTGATGCCGTGGTGGAAGTGGTTCACTGCCGTCTCCTCTGGGCCCTCTGAGACACAGACCAGTCATTCGGAGTCAACGCCACGACCACAATTTCAAACTCATGCTTTCGTCAGTCAAGGTGACCCATTCACATTTAATATGTAGCGACTTCTGCATGAGTCTTCTTTCATTTTATTACATCACAACCAGAATCCGCAATGTTTATTTCATTAGGATCTTTCTTATGCGAGACAAATACACACTCAAAAAAAAAACACTTTTGTGTGTGTAAATCTGGTCAGAGATGATGGGAAAATGGATGAAGCTAAATACAGGCCAATTCTGAAAGTCACCCTGTAGAAGGCTGCAAAACATTCCAGACTGAGACAGAGGTTCACCATCTGGCAGCACAACAACTCTAAACACAAACCAAGAGCTATCGCTGAATAGACGCAAAAATGGCCAAGTCAAAGTCCAGATCTAAAAACAATTGAAAATTTTCAAACTGAGTACCTTTATCAAAACAGACTGAGATTGAGCTACAGCTAATAGGCACCTACTCTAAAAAGATAGCAGGGGTAAGTATTGAGTCACACCAGCTCACCATTAATTTAGGTCAAACTAGTTTTTTTTTTTTTAAGGAACATTTTTGTTCCACTTTGAAAACCTTGCACTACTTTGTGTTGAGCCATCACATGGAATTGCAGCAAAGCACATTGAGGTTTGTGGTTGTCACATGACCACACACGAAAACGTTCAAAGGTTGTTTTTTTTTTTTTTTTTTTTTGCAACATACATTTAAGTCCCAATCCTAAGTACTGAGATGATGTGGTCAAAGGATTGGCCCCATACTTAATTCACCTCGGGTGGAGAGTCACAATTTTAATGACCCTGAATCCCGAAGGGTGTCATTAAGATTACAGAGTCTTGACTGTGCAAAATTTCGCCATATAGAAAATTAACTACCACTGGTGCAGATGCAAATATCTGTCAGCTGATGGGGAAAAAGTCAGAGAGGTTCTCTTTTATAAAACCATTGACATGTTTGCAAGGTAGAAGTGACAAAACAAACACACAAAAAAGTATATCTGAGTAAAGATTAATCTAATAAGATATGAGTGGTAAATAAGAAACAGAGGGAGGTCAGTAGAGAGACCCTAGATAAAACTCTTGCCTTTCTGAAACTGGATTCTCTCAATAGTCCTCAAAGCTGGCAAAGAAAATGTTAACCTTGAAAGCATTGGGAGACTGGATTGTGTGTGAGGCCTATTTTACTCCTCAGCCCCGAATTCGTCCGGCACAACCTTGCCACTAGAGAACTTATAAATCAGGCAGACTAAATTTAGCTCTAAATGGAAGAGAGAATTAAAAAAAGAGAGAAAGCTTTAAAATAAGTTTGTTTAAGGCCACCGGAGCAGGTACTGCTCTGGAATCCAAATCTTCCAGAAAGAAAACACAAAGAAAATCTTGCTTCATAGACCTTAACCAAAAATGCAACATGTTATCAACCAGTATCGGTTTATGTATACATATCACTTACCATTTGTTGATATGGTCACATTGTACTGGACAGTAATGAATAATACTGCAAACTTTGAGGTGACCTGTGGATTTAGAAAGAGATGAATAGTATGTATTAACAACATAAAGCTGGAGGAGCAAATGTTTATTTTATTGTAAAAAAAAAACAAAACAAAACAAACAAACAAAAAAAAACAATTAAAAAAATATAAAACATGTGGAAAAAAAGCAAAAAGTATTGTCTAAATACTGATGTGGACAAGAGCCAAGCTGCTGTAGAGTATAGGTAAATTACAGTCACCAGAATAAGCTGCCAAACCCTAAAGACAGTTGTTGGTTATGAAAACAGCAGCTGAGAATGAACTTCATTTAGCAAACCTACAAAGTGCTAGATGTGATGGTAAAGTAAAAATACTTGGGGCATGTAATTAGAAATGATTCACGTGATGATGTTCAGAAGCAGCGTTGTTGTAAATGCAGACCAATAAGTAACCTGGAACTACATTTTATAGTTGTCCCCTTTCAAAAGCCGTTTACACATTATGATCACCCATGTAGCTGCAGCAAAGCCAACAATGGAAAAGTTTGGGTTCATTTCCAGGACGCGTTTTGAATTTGCATGCTGGGAAAAATGCTAGTTAAATGTTTGACTCACGTAATGGTACTTCTTTTCATGCTTCACTGAGGAACTTGATATACATGTTCATATGCAGTTGTGAAGATGCATGTGTAGAAAATTATAACACCGTTGAAAGGTTCATTTTTAAAATTAATTCATATCGAAAAGTGAAACTTGTGCCCTAAACTTTTCTAGTGGACAGCTGCACTGACATTGTCCTGGGCTAATGAGAGGACCAAGACCAAATGATGTTAAGGCTCTGGAAACTCAACCTGAATTTTACTCTTTTTTTTTCTTCCACTGAACTTTCCATCAGCATGTGACTTCTTGTAGCTAATTCTCCTTTTGTAGAGGGTTGACTATCTGTCTGTTAGACATCTGACAAGTTTTCCCCATGTCTGTGTGGGCCACCATAAGCATTACCAAAGGTTTTTGTTTGCATCATTTGATAGTAAGAGGTTCTGAGAAACGGACTTTTTGGTTTTTATAATCAAAAGTATGACGCATAAACATTTAACATATAGCTCCATTAGTTATAAATTTACATAATATTTTTGTTTCAGTTCTTAATTAAAATCACTAAAATTAATGCAGTTTTATAAGATATGCTAATATGCTGAAACGCATCTATGGTGCTTTACATATAAAATGTATTGTTTACATGACTTGGTTTTTATTCTTAAATTCTATACTTCAAAATAAAAGAGCAGCTTAAGCGAAAAGTTATTTACAATTGACATTGATACATATTAGCGTCATTATTAACTAAACGTAAAGGGGGAATACAATTCAAACAACTTCCACAATGAGTTGGCGACAGTAAAGCACCTTTCCACTGCTGCTGAAGGTCACAAACTTTATTTTGAAGGAGTACATACCGGAAGTTGCTTTGAACACGTATAAAAGCGGCATCGCTCCCTTCTGAGGATGAAACCGCGACAGATATAAACAAACATGCGGTTTAAAGTGAACCTGAAGACAACGCACAGTCCACAGTGGACGGTGGTCTGGTCCCCGTCTCTTTTTGAGGCACGCTTCGCCAAGAAAGGACAACTTTCTGTTTCGGTGCGAGCGGGGGACGACAACCCTCTCGACCGCTGCGCGAATGCCACGTAACACTTCTACGCATCAACTCAGCGAACCGGGGCTGTTGCAAAAAAAACAAAACAAAAAATCTTCAAACCGCGGGGCTCGACACCGCGTTTCAAATGTGCTGCGTCTCATTTTCAAGCAAGCAACTTGCATATATTTTTATTGATGTTCTCTTTTTGGGTCCCACTCCGACAAAAATACGCGGTTAAAAAGCGGGCCTGACGACATGTGTTTGGAAATAATAGATTTCAAGCAGCCAAATGTTAAAGTGAGGGTTTTCTCCCTGGAAAGCCCCGATATCCAGAAAACGCGTTCAGATGAGCGGAGTGAATGCGGGAATGAGAGCGACGCGGGGCCACGGTGCACCGAAAACTTTGGCTCTTTAGGAGGAAGTAGAGGAGAATTGATCAGACAGCCATGTCAGCTGCTGCAAGAACAGATGGGAAGAAGCGATCGGCTCTTTTCGTTCGCCAACTCTGCGCAATCTGCAATAAAGATAAAAACAAAAACAATACAACCCCAGCTCAACATGTGGACTCACCTCAAACATCAGCCCGAGTAGGAAAACCATAGCAACACAGGAAACAATATCTGCATGGTTCTGGATCACAAACTCGTGGCTCAGCACCGGCGGGTTCTTGTTGGTCTTCTTTCGGATCCCCATGTCGACGCGATTCGCAAAAGTTTCCCCTCTGTCCGTCGCGCAGATGCGATTTTCCGTGCTTTTCTTCCCTACCAGATGGTGTGATCTGTCTGAGCTCCCAACGCGTCCTGCACGCACAGGGCCAGGCTGCTGTTGAATGGCGTGTCACTCTTCTGCTGGTAGGAGGGTCCACGGAGAGAGCGAGCCTCTGCGCCTGACCAAAGAGACTCTTTACGCACAGGAGAGGAAACAGCTGGGGCTCTCTGCCGCTTCCTAGAGGTTTGGAGTAGAAGGAGAGCTGTAGAGAGGGATGGTTTCTGTATTTGGTGCGCCATCATAAGGTAAACTGGTCCAACAGGTCCCGCATTTGAAACAAGCAAGCATAAATCAACACCTTTTTAAATGACGTGTTGTATATGTAACCAGGTGAAGAAATCCCGGCTTCATATATTTTATTTATTCAGTGCAAATGTCCAAAATTGAGGGACCAGCACAGTTTTTTTTGTTCTTTTTTCTTTTAGTTTTAGTTTCGAAAGCTAACAAAAACATTTAGTTTTTTTTTTTTTTACACCTCTTCTGAGATTCTAATACCAGGAAGTTATTTAGCCAGTGAAGTCCAATCCAGCATGTCATGTTTATAAGCCCTCATAGCCTCTGGCATTTCAATGCGGATATGACAGAGTAAAATGGATGATAAGGATCTCACACATTTCAAGCTATTTGTCAAACAAAAACTTTAGAAGCTAGCTGAAGCCTCAGGAGAAATTTCTTTTAAAGATTTAAGAAAAAAAAAAGACAATGTTATGCTTTTGAAGCTGTTGTACAATGCTGACATACAGTAATGCTGATGAAAATCTAGGGATAATTAAACAGGAATCCACTGGTTGAATCTGTAACAATTAGCTGTGCTCTAAATCCTTACAGAGAGTAGAGGACAGGAAGTAATGCAGTGCAAAACCAGGATCAAGCAAAAGCGAACTGACTAGCTGCCCATCGCCCCAAATGTGGAAGTACATGTGTATATCACACATACAGCTGGCTCAGTTCTTACAGGACAAATATGAATCGATTTGATTTTCGATTTTATTTCGGACTTTGTCTTGGCTATTCTAAGACAAGAATACATATTCTGTTGGAGCTTGGCTGTATGTTTGGGTTTGGTGATCTATCCAACTCTCTTGAGGACAGTTTCCTTGTATGATTGCCCTGTTCATCTTCCCATCAGATGAACATTCTGTCTTTCTATCAGAGACAGAATGTTTTTCTGTCTCTGATACAGAAAAGCATTCCCAGAGTGTGACAATGCCACCTCCAACTTTTAACAATGGGGGAAGTGTACTCAGGCTCCTCTGTAGTATTTTGCAGTTTTCCACCACACAGAACTTTTAATGTACGCCAATAAGTCTATTTTGGTGTCATCTAACCAAAACCGTTTTGAATCACTCTGGAAGGCACTACAACACGGGACATGGCATTTAGGAAGAAAATTAGGAAGAAAATTATCTAAGCTGCACAGTAACATGAGGCTTTTCAAGTGTCTGTATGCAGCTCTTCAAGAATTGCATTTTATTTTAGAGCCTATTAGAGTTCACCTTTGAGAAACTAGACTTGTTCACTTCCTTTAATAACTTGGAATGCAAGTTACTTTACGTCACACTTTCAATCACGGTTCATGAGTTACTTTTGCTTTCTGATCAGTGGTTAAGCTAATCTTGCTGGTGACGTTTGAATGGACACAGACATGTAAAGGGGAATTGTGCAGATCACACTCACGCAACCACCACACCTTCATAGGAATGACACGTACTTTGTAATTACAAATGTCTGCCCTGAGTGTTGATTTGTTTACTGGTTGCTGAGGTGGGGCTTAGCACAGGTTTCAAGGGAAGGAGAAAGAAAAATGCAGGGAGTGGAATCTCCAGCTGTGACTGTGGAGCCCTCTGCCACAGACATTATGTCTCTGTAAGTTTACTTCTTATTTTCTTATTTCTTATATGTGCTTCGTCATTGTGAAAGGAACAATTTTGGGTGCAGTATTGCTTTTTCTTTCTGTGTGCTAACCGCAGTGTAGCTCATGATTAAGTTAAGATATACGAGTTTGTTTCTAAAAAGTAAGATAATGGAAGTACAATATATGAAAGCAATAGAAGGAAACATTTCATTATCTTATCCTCTGAATTTGCCTCAATTTTCAATAAAGCCACCAATCGATCAAGGTAGTATTTTGTTTATTCCTGCTCCTCAATGTAAGTTGTGCTGCGTGTTTTAGGGATGTTTCCCTACTTTAACACGCCTGATTCACTTGAATGTGGTTCTGAAAAAGCCTGCTGATCATCTATCTACTGAAATCAGACATGCAGATGCAGGGAAACATCTAAAATATTTAGATTTAACTATAAAGAGTCCAGAACATTGTGTTATAATTTGCTTATTATGTGATTAATTGTGCTGATATATTAAATGTTTTTATGACTGATTAAAGAACAGGAAGATATAACATAAGCTGAAGAACATATAACATAAACTAATCAGGATTGCAAGTCATTTGCAGTTTTTTAATTTGTTTTTTGCTAAAACAAAGGAAATAATTGTTGTTGCATCATTGCAAATTGCAATTGTTTTTAATCAATTTTACTTGTATATCTTTTGCAGAGAGATTTTAAAGCCACCTGTGATGATGACACTCACATACTACAAAGCTTACAGGAACAAGAACTGAGATTGCTTCGTCCTCGGAACCAAACAGGAACAGGAATACCAGTTTTTTAAAGTGATAACAATGGGGCATTCAAATGAGCAGTACTCCAAGTGGCGGTGGCTTTTAGCTCTTGTGGGACTACTGATGTACCTAGGGGATATTTGCACAGATACTGCACTGGTTTTTAGATATTTCCTAGAAAAGCGCTATGTTCAGAGTGGATTGACTGCACTGTTTATAATCACTGGGCTGACAGTAAACCAGATCTTCAGCTACACCTGGTTTTTAGAAGATATGCATAAAAATGTCATGGACAGCAAACCAAAGCGACGATTTTTAGTCCTGCACATATTTGGGATGGGAATCCTCCTCAGGTACGTATGTGCCTTAATGTTGTGCATCCAGGATTTGCAGGCTGCAAACTGGAATTTCAATAGTGCTGCAGCTGTAATGTCATCATCACAGCTGCAGAAGAAACTGAATTGATCACATGATGACAGTTTATTATTCTGACACTGTCGCCAGGTCTTACCACCTGCTTGAACAAGGATACAAAGAGATTTGGGGACAAGAAATGTCTCAAAATCAAAAGTCTTCAAATGGACACCTGACGGAAGATGATGAGGAAGGCCCCAGCACCTCCCACCACAATAAACTGTTCAGCGATACTGCCGATCTGAGCATGTTGAAGCTTTTTGAGACTTTCCTGGAGAGTGCGCCTCAGCTTCTTTTACAGCTTTACATATGCCAAAGCCATGATGAGTGGTCAGTCTTACAGTGTGAGTAGATAACAAAGTCCTTTCTTAACTTCAAATGTTTTCAGATTTATCACTTTTAGTTGGCTTTTTCTTGCAGATATGTCTATGGTCTTCTCTTTCTTTAATCTGGCATGGTCTTTGGTGGACTACCGGATCTGGCTGCGCAAATCTCTTCCCCAGAGTCGAGAATTGCCCTCAGGCCTCCCCACAGTGATCTACCTGCTCTACAAACTCTTCACCATCACCAGTCTCATTCTCAGCTACAGTCTCCTCCTCATCCTCAGCGTCTACAGCACAGTCGGCTTTGCTTCCCTTTGGCTGCTGGGAACAATATGGGCCCACTTGCTTCAAACCGACTTCTGCCATTCAGGTGTCCTTGAACTGCTGTACCGTAGCGTCATTGGTGCCATTCTGGTTTTTACCTTTTTTAACGCAAAAGGACAAAACATCAAATGGGAAATGACCGTCTATTACTTTTTATGGACTGTTGTAAATTTCTCAACTCCTTTATTAATGTTTTTTTTAAAGCCAGAGTTGAAGACAATTACATTTTTCTGGGTGGTTAGTGGTGTAATCTATGGCGGTTCATTGCTAGGGCTGATTTCGCTGGTATCATATTATCGCTTCCTGCATCCTAAACAGTGTGAGTTAGATCAGGTGGATGGGCAGGAAACGGAGATGACACATTTAACAAAGAGGACAAGGACATTCATAAAACCTTGACTGAAGTTTTTCCCACCTTATCATAAAGAAGGGCGCTCCACATCATTATGGAGCCACCACCATGTATTATTGTTACAAAATTTCATGTTTTAGTTGTGTTCACACTTGTGGCTCATGAATGTTAGATTAGTTTCCATGTCTCAAATCAAGAAATATGTGAAAAGGCATGAAAGAAAAAAAAAGCAAGCACAAGGCAGTTGTTGAGGATTTTAGGTTTGAATTGGGGAGTTTACACATCAGCACACAATGTGATTTCCACCGAAAGAAGTCGGCAGAAATTTTTAGTTGTTTCGAGATGTAACCGGCATCCTATGCTGGGATTTAAAAGCTGTCTTCCGGAAATTCACCACAGTGGAAAATGACTACTTATGGACACCACCCATCATGCCACTCAAACTCAATCTACAGTTTCCCCATAACATGTTCTTTGGTCCTTCAAAGTTATTTCAAGTTAGTGCTAACTTGGGGAAGGTGTGTTAAGTTACTGATATACAGCAGGACCCTGGTGTTTGCAAAGTTATAGTGATGCTTTCAGAGGTTCACATTAAGAGTGCAAGCTGAACCAGTGATGTGGCTTTTATACTTGATGTGTACTTTGCTGCCTTATTCTGGCCAACTCGACTGTAAACCCAGCTTTAGGAACGAGCAGTCCATGAATAACTAAAATCCATGAATACTTGAGAGCCTCTCAAAACAGGCATATAATTGAATTTTTTAATGTAGCTTAATATGCCTAGTGGGGACAGTGTTACTGCAGGAGCAAGCATCCATAGTCTTGCCTGTTTTCGCTCTTGGGCATACAGCCAATCAGCACCAAAGAACAAAAATTGTTCTCCTGGTTTGGTTGCTTTGTAAAGACCAGCCAACAGTGTGCCAACTAACATTGCACATATAGGCTTTTCAGCTTTCAATCATCATTTTCATTTAAAAATTTTAGATTTTCTCAGTGAAAATATTGGCAAATAGGGAAGTTTTCCACAAATAAGTGAAGGAGTTATGTTACACCATCACCTTTGTGAAGTCTTGAATGGCTTTTGTACTCTTAAAAAAATGTATACTTAAGGTCAGACTGTTTTGATGGGGAAACAAGCATTTTTGTTTAATCCCAGTTTTCGCTTGTTCATGTGCTTGTTGGGTAGGTTATTTTGTTGGTTTATATATTCTGCTTTCTTAGAGTTATGTAAGATAAGCTTTTATTTTCTTTTAGGATTGTGGTCTTTGTTATGTCGTCATGAGGCCTCGCTGAAGCAAAACGTAAGTCTGTACAGAAAATAGCAAATATTTGGGAGACAATATCTTAAGTGCCATCTCATCTCCTCATTCAGTATCTAGATTTATGTTAGTCCCATAAATCCACTTAGACCAGCGAGGGGACATAACACCTTCAACAAGGACAATGGCCTTAAACATTGACCAGGCGCTACGCTGAAACAGTTTAGATAAAAAAAAATAAAAATAAAAAAAAAACTTCATTCTTAAACTGCTTTATCACATTTCAGACCTACTAAAATGGCAATACTTAAAAATTAATCTTTACTGATACTCTATGTCCAATTTGATTGAAATTGAGCTACTTTGAGCTAAATATGCACACCACAAAGCTCAGATTTCAAATCAAAAAAAGAATTGAAAACGATCAGAGTTAGGCAATCAGAGTTTGTGTTGCCCTTTCTCAAAAGATCCCAATAGAAAGAATTGAAACATGTGGTTGTAATGTTACAAAATGTTAAAAACACATTTAATTAATTTGCAAGACATTGCACTAGCTACAATGTCTTGCAAATAAATATGTATTTATTTATTTTTTTTGTATTTTAAGAGTTTTGTGTTTTGTTTCTATTCTACATTGTGAGTCCTTATTTTACAGGACAGTCTGTTGTTCTCAAATAGCAACAGGGATAGTACTTGTGGATGTTTATGTTCTTTTCTGAACTGCTATATTATCAACACAAGATGGCGCCATTATCACAATGGATATTTCGAATACGAAACGACATTGGATCCAGTTATTCCAATTTCTTTCTGACTAGCTGTACCTATTATGCCTATTGGAGTGCAACATTGCTCACTGCTTTAGATTTTTTTTGTACTATGGTTTTCGTGCCACATTTTAGAATAAAGTTGATTGATAGTCATTCATTTTGAAACAACATATATTTAGATTTCAACCACGCTCATCTCATTGACCTTCAATTAATCTTCAAATATTTTTATCTTTGCAAACTGAAAGGATGGAAATTTCTCTCCATCTTTCTGAGGATTTTGGAGACGGTGTGGGCACGGATGAACAATGAAGAAATAATAAACCAGCACTAATTTTGTTTTGACTACTGGCAAAACATTGTACTGCTAGAAAATGAAAGGTGCGACTTTTTTTGTCATCAAAGGTAGAATAAGATAATATGCTAGGGAGTTGGTGTAGAGTGGGGACCTGATGTGTCCTCTAAAGCGCATGGTTGTGGGCTCTCAAATGAGCACAGCGATCCTCCCTTCTTTTAATTCAGCCAAGCTCAGAGGCTTCTGAGCTGTTTATGCCAAGGGACCCCGTGAACCTTTCCTTTGTTGGTTGCGTTTTGTCTGAAACACTCCATAAAATTCAAACTCCCAACAAATTTAACTGAGGAAGTTTTGTTTAAGAGGAAATGAATCTCTGCCAGGCTCTTATTTTATTGTGAAGCAACAGTGGATGTACTGACCCCTGCTTGAGCTCTTTTGGTTTATTACATGCAGAAAGCAAGGCTAATGGTTCCAAACCATTTTCCAACCCAATAGTGACCTATAACCTGTACAACTCAATGGAAAGACAAACTAATATCTTCTAGAAGAAAAAAAAATCAAAATGGAAAACTTAAATATTGTGGTTGCAAAAGTGTGCTCTCTGTTCTTTGCAAAAACTCTTAATTTGGTTCTCCTCAGAAGCCGCCCTGTGACTTATTTTTCTAAAATTCTTTCCAAGAAGTTAACCTTTTTATAGTTTGGACGTATGCTTTGGATCCTTGTTTTGCTAACAGACGAAATTTCTCTTCGTCCACTTTCCAGCATAAAGCTGAAGGCTTTGTTCAAGGATCAACTGGTATGTGAAAATATTTCAGCTGTAGAAAAACAAGCTTAAAGCATGGCCCTGCCACCACCATGCTTCATAATGGTAGTGGTATTCATTTAGCAGGGCATTCCCCACGTTTTTGGGACATTGAAGGTGTTTTTAGAAAATTTAGTGAACGTTTGTCCTCCACATTGACACTGTACTCCTGAGCATTGAGAGTACAAGAAATTGTTGTTGCATGTTCTAGATATCCACATTCCTAAGTGGCTTTAATGCTGCTGTATATCTTCCCAACTGACCAACTCTTATTCAGTCATTTTATAAAATGTTAAATTAAATCTAGTTCTCGGTACTCACGCTCCAGTTGATGTTAACAACATCTTGTTCCAAATTATTATGCAAGTGATATTTTCTCAGATTTTCTTAAATGGTCAATGCAAGTGATGGTCAGTATAATTTTCAAGTCATGAACTTGTACTAAAATCAAAAGCTATTTCAATCAAAAACATCTTAACAGACGAGTTAGGTGTTAACATAGGACCCCTTCTTTGATATCACCTGTACAATTCTTGCATCCATTCAACTTGTGAGTTTGTGGAAAGTTACTGCTTGAATTTCTTTGCAGGATGTCAGAATACCTTCCCAGAGCTTCTGTTTTGATATGAACTGCTTTCCACCCTCAGATCTTCTGCTTGAGGAAAAGCCAAAGGTTCTCATAGGGTTGAGGATGTGACCACACCATGAGTTTCTCCCCTTTTATTCACATAGCAGCCAATGACACAGTGGTATTCCTTGCAGCATGAGATGGTGTATTGTCATGCATGAAGATGATGAAAGTCTGGCTCTTCTTTTTGAACCCTGAAAGAAAGTGATCAGTCAGAAAGTCAATATACTTTGCTGAGATCACTTTCTCTGAAGGAGCCGACCAGCTCTCTCTCCTCATAATTTCGGCCCAAAAAATGACTCCACCATCTTCTTGCAGACGTCACAGCCACCTTGAATTAGCCACCTTGAGGTTCTGGAGGCACCAGCAGCTTCACACAACTGTTTGCTGCTTTGTACGGGCATTTTACCAGCTGCTCTCTTACTCCGATGAATTTGTCTTAACAGAAACCTTCCTCATTATTCCTTTATCTGCACAAAGACATCTTTGTTCGGAATCAGCCACAAATCTCTTCACAATACGATAACGCTTCAGTTTTCGTTAAATATCTAATGTTTTCATACCTTGTCACGATGATGATTTTCGTCAGCAGAGATCCTTTTTCTTTCCCATTCTGCTTGAACCCTGTGGCCCGTTTAATAATGTGGAACATCCTTCTTAAATAGATTTTCTTTAATTGAGCTCACGAGAGAAACTTATCAACCCAGCTCTCTGAAGTTAATTGTAGTGATTGAAAGAGTCCTGACACACAGTACCACCTATAAATTTAATAGCACAACATAAAAAAATTATCTTTAAGACACTTAAATCCAATTTGCATAATAATTTGGAACACGGTGTATTTTCAGTGTGTCCCATAGTGTATGCCATTCTTTGATACCTTTCTCCAGGCTGAAGGCTTTTCCTGTGGGATGAAACAAAGAAAATGTTATGAGAAACCTACAAGATTCAGATGTTCTTTGAATGGTGACTGATCCTTTTTGAAGATGAGCTTGAATACGGTGCTTTGTTACAAACATAGCCAATAATAGGATGTGCAGACTTATACAACCATGTTACTGTAGTTCTTAATTGACTGTTTTTCTATCAAAAGATTTTTTTTTACTGGAGCTACATGGGGCACGGCTTATATTAAAGGAGGAAATAATGACATATAACAAAATCCTGGCATTTCAACCTTGGTGTGTATATATATATTTTTTATAACCACTGCATTTACAAATGTATAAAGCAGTTAAAATGCTGATTCATAGCAGCTTACCTTTTGGATTAAAGGGGTTATTTATACTAACAGGGAGGGTTCTTTATTCACAAGAAATCAAAATCACATCCTCCTTTGCATTTAAGATGATGGATGCGCCCCACTTTTCTGGGCTTGAGTGGACTAATGCAGTATAAACCTGCCAAAAGGACTTTTACTGGGAGAAGATGAATGTGTTCCTGAGCTGAGGTCCTGAGCAGTCTTCTCCTTTCTGTCATCCTTTTGCTTTAGTCCAACCGCACATACTTTTGGCTGTGACTCACCACGGATAGCGTTGCCAGGGAGCAGTCACAAGCCATCGGGATGAAATGTGTTGAGTAAAGCATTACCTCTTTCTTTCTGGAAGAAAACAAGCAGAAAGAACTCTGGCATTCGGACCATCGCTGTAATTCACTTCTGGCACTGAGAGCGTTGCACCCAGTAATCTCTTGCTCCGATCTAACTGAAAAAAGCACCTTTGAAAATACTGGAGGTCTGTGTGAGAATCACAGGAACTGGAAGTAAATCCCAGATGATGATCTGTGAAAGATAAAAAAGAATCTGCTCTACATATTTTTTTCATTTAAAAACAGATATTGCAGTATTACTAAACACACATGACAGGGAAAAAATGCCTTGTTAAAGTATTCGCACCCCCTAAACCTTTTCACATTTTGTCACTTCATAATCCTAAATCTCACTGGGATTTATGTGAAAGGCCAACATGATTTGTACATAAATGTGAAATGGAAGAACAACCTGGTTTTAAACAGCGTGTTGTGGATATGTATCCGGCCGTCTTTACCCAGATTGTCCTAAATAATACCTCAGTATTCCATAAAAAGTGAACAGAGAGGCGTGTTAGTGAACACTGGTGATCAAACAGCAACACGAAGACCAGTTAAAACTGGAGACAGGTCAAGTATAGAGTCATCACCCCAAAACGTAGAGAATGACAAAGCCGTAAACCTCAGAGACCCAAAGGTTTCTGGCACAACTTCATTTACTTCCAAGCTGGATGCAGAGGGACACATCTGGTAAGATGAAGACTCCAGGAACACTCAAAATACTGAGGGAACAACTTTATTAACAGACAAACACAGTTCATTTTATGGTCTTCAGAGTCATGGTAGACAGTTTGTGTTTAAATAAAAATATATACATAAGAAAATGATTCCAGTAACTGTAAATCTACCAAGACATAGCCGTATGCCTAACCAACAAACTGTGGAGGAGATTTGGAAATACGCTACTCTAATCTGTCCACAGGACTGGTGTTGATCACACACTCGACAAACTTATGGTGCTTTGAGTCAGTCTATGATATACCCACCCCCGAAATTCTCAGATGATGTTGTAGAAATGGTAAAAAAATAAATATATCAAGAGCTATAAATGTTTTCATAAGAAGGTCATAGATTCTTTTTTGTCCAATTTGTGCAGTATTGGTAAAAAATGCAAATATATATAAGGAAGAAAGAGTTCCCCATCGTTGGGAGCATCTAACCAGTTACCAGGGATAAATTGGAGCCCTGTGTCAATTCTTTTTGAATGACCTCATCTATCATATAAGCCTAGATTTACTTCACTGTTGCAGTTCTTGTCACACAACACCAACAGCTATCTGCAGCCAAAACCCAAATTGTAACAATGGCAGGGCTATTGTAGCCAGCATAATGTGCTGTACAATATCCT